AGATTTTTCGTAAGGAGAATTAAGTGCATTTGAATAAGGGTACATACTCTTACATTTATATCTTGTATGTATATATTTATGTATCTCAGCGACGACTTTGGAAAAAAATGAAAGTGGTTAGAAGACACAATTGAAAGCGGGCCTTAAAAATCCAAGATCAGTAGCTGGACTCAGTGCGCACTCATTGCACTCTTTAGAAATAAGTACCAGTTTGACCGAGCTTCGCCCGGAGTGCATATACTATTTAAAGCTTTCAACATTTGCATAGCTTTAAAAAAAAACATTTTGGAAAAAAGTTGGATTTCGAAATCTATTAAGTAAATTTCCTGCTCCAAGATTTAAGTGGCAACCCTATTCTGAAATACGCTGGAATGAATGATACATATCTTGAGTGTATATGTACTGTGTATACATAAAAAAAGCCGATTAAAATTAACAAAATTAAAATATGTGTTACATAGAAGTGTGGCAACCCCGATGCAAAACATTTTCTGACCAAAGTTCTCAACAATACCTTTCATTTGATATCAATATTGCGATGTTTAAGATAAGTTGTGTAGAATCGGAATTAAGTGGCAACCTTACACTATTATCCTAAGGGATATCATTTTTTTATTTAGGGTAAGCATTGTTTAAGAACCTTCTCACCCATGAATAGTATCTAATATTTTACCTATTTTTTCTAAACAAAAAAATTTAATAAATATGCTATTCAAAATAGGTGGCAACCGTATTAAAAATATTTTTGAATTAGCGTCCATTTGATACCCATACCTTATACGAGTCTTCTCGGAGATATTGCCTATTCAGATAACCTTAAAATCCAAAATATTATCTGTATACAAAACTTCAACAAAATCGTTAGAGCCTTTTCCCCAGAACCCTATGGATATATACATATATACAAGAATTGCTCGTTTAATGTAATAAGATTACAATGCGTCATCGGAACGAAACGAGGAAAGTGATGATTATATAAAGAAAGAGACTCGAAATTGTCGGTTTAGTCCAAGTACAAATGTTCAACAGCGAGCTAGTATTTAGAAGTGAATGATAAGGCTAGCATAACTTTTATAATTACCACTCTCTTTCCGATGCAAGACAGCTGGTTGCCTCCAGAAGGAAGATTGCGATAGCTCAGATATACCTAAGGTCAAAGACCGAAAAGATGAAAAGATATAGGCACTGTTGTCGGGAAGGACATTCTTATTCGCTAAGTTTTTTATTGAATATATTCAGTAGTGAGTAGTTCCTTGGGTGATTACTCGTTTTGAATCGAATCAAACAAAATGACTGTGTGGTTTTCTTTACACTACAATTTAAATAGATGAAGCCCGCTCGTTTCAGTTAAGGCAACTTAACGTAACTTAAAGGCTGTCACTTAAAAATTCTCTTAAATGGATGTTGTTTATATTTGGATAGGCGAAACTTTACGCCACGTCAAAGTCTGTTTCATTTTGATTTTCTGAGTTCTAAGTTACGTTAAGTTAAGTTAAGATGCCATAATCAGACCTTTACGCAGGGTGGAGATTCTGTAACCAGTTAGCGACAAGTTTCGGATCGCTATTGCACTTGTTGACGTAAAAATATTCATATCATACGTCAACAAAACCGGAACCGATCTGAAAATTGTCGGTAACTGGTAACAGAATGTCTGGGGGGATGTCATTTTATTTAATTTCATTCGAAACGAGTAATCTTTCGATAATGGATAGCGCACAAGTGCTCGAAGCTCTGCTGAAATTCTACATCAGAGACATTAAATGGTTCTGAAAGGGAAAATTACTTAAAAGTTTAAAGTCTACTGGAACTCAACTCCTTAGCCACGCTAGCCTAATTAAAATTTTCACTAAGAATAGAGCTTTGTTTTTTGAATGTGCCCAACGCAACCCATTGTGAAATCTGAGAAAAAAATAAAAATAAAAAAACGAAATTCAAATGTAATGCGAGAAGTTTTATTCGACTACTTATTTTTAATTTGAAATGCACTGCATTGTCTAAGGTCTTTATTTTCGCCATGGTAATATCTTATTTTTGCCAGAAAATCTAATTAATGTATACTTTCATGTCAGCTACACTCAAAAATGCTGATTTATTTTAAATATATAAAATTAAAAGTGTGTGTATGTATGTTTGCTAGCTATTTTAACGAAATCATATCTTATTCGATATGTGGAAGCCAAAGTGAATATAAATATGTATGTACATACATATATTGAGAGGATTTAAAATATTGTATGCACCTTCTGATCAAAAAAATCCAAAATTTCTTTAGCAAACCGAAGCAAAATTTTTTGCACTTTTAAGCACGAATTTCTTATGAAATAAACAATTTAACAATAAAATTTCGAAAAATCGACGCCAGTTTTTTGTAATTGCACTTGTTATATAAAAAAAAAGCGCAAATTAATCTAAAAAAAAAATTCTACGCTATTTTTTAGCCGGTCGAAACTAGCACTTCATTAGATTAAAATTATATGGGATATAAAATTCAGATACAAAATTTTAAAATTTTGATGAAAATTTATTGAATTTTTCTAAAGTTTGAAATTGTAATTTATATGTTTTTGGTTAAAGCTTGGACGGTGTTTTTATAGAAAAATAACAACAAAAAAATTTAGATCGAAAAACATTACGAATATTAAAAAAAAAATCAACACGTGGTCATTTATTTGAGTCGCTGTATATCGTTGGCTGAGTGGAAGATTGACCTATGCGGCACCCAGTTCGAAAACGCCCTATCTCAGAAAAATTTTCAACCACGCTCTATTTCAGAATTTGGTTGAGAATGCCCTATCTCAGAACTTGATTGCAAAACGCTCTATCTAAGAATTCGGTTCAAAAACGTCCAGTTTCAGCACATTTTCAATGTATTTTCGTTGAGGCGTTTTTGAACCGAATTCTGAGATAGGGCGTTCTTTAACCAAAACTGACATAGGGTGGTTTTCAAAAAAATTTTGAAATAGGGCGATCTTCAATAAAATTCTGAAGTAGGGCGTTCTTGAAAGGTTTTTTGAGATAGAGCGCTTTTGAACTAGCTGCCGAGATAGGTCCATCTTCCACGCTGCCATCGATATTATGTTGCTCACGCCGCTCCAAAGTATATATGTTTTATTTAACTTCTTTTTTTGGTTTTTAATTTATATTCTTTTAATTTTTTGATTTAACTGTTTTAGGGCCAAATTCCTGGTGCGTAGTTAACTCAGAATCGGCAGTTAACTAGAGATTTTCGGTACAAAAGGAAAGGAAAATATTTTTTTTAATTTCTTTGAATTTTTAGAAACTTAGTTTATTTTTTCTTTTTCTTTAATTTTCTTTTAATTTTTAGAAACTAATTTTATTTTTTCCTTTCGCATCAATTTATTTTAATTTCAAATTCAATTTATTTAAGGAACATTTTTTTTTTTTTTTCTTTTGATTTTTAAATTTTATTGCTTTGAAAAGAATAACATTTTTTGATTTCATTTAGTTTTATTTATTTTTTATTTAGATTTTTTTACTTTTTTAATTTAATTTTCTTTTAATTTTTAGATTTTATTGTATGTATTAAAAGAAAATCGTTTTTAGAAGAACTCTTTGCTCAACTAAATTCGACAGTGCAAAATTTGCATAACAAATCAGATACTAATTTTTTTTTAACAAATGATTACACAAAACCCAGCTGACAGTACTACTGCACCGTGAGTACTACCAATATCGAGAAAAATTAAAATGAAAAGTATCTCCAGCGCGATTTGTTTAAATGAGAACTTATGGGTATTTTTTGATCAGAAGGTAGTAGTATGTATTTAAAAAATCATTATTTAAAAATATGAATTTTATGGTGCTAAAATTGAAAAACTGACGACAACTGTGTAACCTCTACTGGCTAGATATATACATACGTAAGAGTAGATATAAATTAAATAAATTAAAACACATTTTTTCTTAATTTAGTTTTTACTTTTTGGCTAAACAAATTTGACAGGAACAAGTGCAAATATGACTGGCTACCAGCAGAGCAATCTAACTCGTGCAATACCGGTTTTTTTTTTCTTGGCAATATTTGCCATTTGTTTCGATTGTTGTTGGACCTTGTGTAGTTTGTTCTTGTCCAAAAAGCTGTTTTGTCTCACATTCATGAAAATGAATAGTTTGTGTGACGGCTCAAAATTGCCAGCAAGCTATTTGTGGGGGAGCGATGGTGGTGGGTGTTTACACATATGTACATAAATACATATGTACACAAGTGTAATAATATTTATTTGTATTTTTGACTTGTGCATTGCTTATTGTCAAGGTCATGTGATTCTACCCCCAGAGAGATCTTATAGCCACAAACATGATCTTGTGACTAAATTTTCCATGCGAATTTTTTTCATACGCAACTAATTTGTAAAATTAATTTTCACATAAAATACATATGTACATATATACATATATATATTTTCACAACCTTGACACTAATTATATGGTTATTTATTTAAATAAGTGAAACATTTGTACGCTGTTGTATTTTTGAAATTTTTTCTTGCAAAAGTGAAATGCACCAGCATGCAATAACTGTCACACTCACAAGATGGCATTGCGAGGCTTCAAAGTAATGACATCTTCATACATTCGACGCGTTATATTTTGTTTTTTTTTTTTTATAAAAGAATGCATTTTTTGGGCATTTCATGTGTGAAATTGCAGCAAATTTCATTTTTGTAAGTTTTCTGCAGTTTTGATAAATGATGATTAATAAATACAGCGCGCACAGTGAAGCGTTGTATATTCTTGGTTTATATATACATATATATTTCAATACACTTTTCGATATTTTTTTTCTGTAACAGATGCACTGTCATTAAAGCTGTTTTTTAAATGCACTCGAAGAATATCAAAACTTTTCATGTGCCTATAATTTCGCGCGGTTTTTGATATTTTTTATATTTTATTTCCAAATTTTTAGTTCGTTTCTTATATTTGTCTTTTCATCTTTTATCCGAATTTTTTCAATTTTTTAACTTGCTACTTACTCTTTATGCTCAGCGGCGCGATCTCTTTGTCTGCGATTCTTAAACCAATTGGAAACCTGTAAGCATGTAACAAAAGAAGAGATAGAAAAAATTATAAAAATTTAGCTAAACAATTTTTTTATTTTTTATTTTTAGAAAATTAATTTTTTTTAAGGATTTTAAATTTTTGGTAAATCAGGTCAAAAAAGTGATTAATGAAATTTCCTTTAGCGTTTGTTACACAAAGCATAACTTAATTAGCTGCATTCAAGCGAAAAACAGACGAGCGATTAGTTGGTGAAATTGATTAATTGTACACACATATGTATACTTGTACTTGTATGTATATGAATGTACATATGCATACTAAGAACAATAAAAAAACAACAAATTGTAGCAAGTATTCATACATACCAAGGCTCTTGGCAATTATGACATTGAAAATTTTTGAATTTGAAAATGTGAAACCTGGTGAAAAAGTTGAAGGTGAGCGCAAGAATTTCTTGTGTGAAATAAATGAAACGCGAAAAAAAATTTCTTTTTACAAATTTCGTAAATTTCATGCGGCAAAAGCATATAAAATTACAAACGCAAATTTTGTAAGCTTTAGCTAAT